TCAGGATCCAGTTTATGAAACTCGCTCCCTACTGAATCTAAAAATCGTCCAACCTATAACTTATTCAGAAGTATTACCAAGAAGTACATAATCTCATCCTCATAGTTCCCTGCCTTGTGCTTCAAGCTCACACTGTGCTACTCACTCCCTAAATGTTGGAGCTTAAGACATTCATCTTCACCAGTGTAATTTCCGTCGTTGACCAGACCACACACTAGAAGGTGAAGGGACGACGACGTTTCGGTCCGTCCTGGACCATTCTTAAGTCGATTGTGATGAGGAATGATTGATTGATGAAGATTTAAGCCACCCAAGAGGTGGCACGGGCATGAATAGCCCGTAAGCGATGGCCCTTTTGAGCCATTACCAGTATCAAGAGCTGATACTGGAGATCTGTGGAGGTGCGACTGCACCCTGCGTGACGGGAGATGTCTCCCGTGGTGATGAGGAAGTAGAGACAGGCAATAAGTAGGCAAGAGAGGGGTGAGGAGCAAAGGTGTAGGTGAGGGGATAGTAGGGAAACTAACTGCAGAGGGCCTATTGACCTTTATTAGGACGGACTATTTATCATTTCCGGGGGAGACATCTCCCGTCACGTAGGGTGCAGTCGCACCTCCACAGATCTCCAGTATCATTTATTGATACTGGTGATGGCTCAAAAGGGCCACCACTTACGGGCTATTCATGCCCGTGCCACATTTTGGGTGGCTTCATCTTCATCTTAACACATTCACAAAGGAGACATCTCCCGTCATGCAGGGTGCATTCGCACCTCCACAGATCTCCAGTAACAGCTCTCGATACTGGTAATGGCTCAAAAGGGCCACCACTTACGGGCTATTCATGCCCGTGCCACCTTTTGGATGGCTTAATCTTCATCAATCAATCAATCATTTCCGTCCATTTATATTGTAGTTATTATGTTGAACTACAATTTTGCTACAGTGTCCCTATTATTAAATTTACCGTATATATTAGATTAAGGACCTGCCCGAAACACCATGCATGTTACTGGCGTTGTAACACTGTAACAACACCAGTGTTATGTACTCTCACAAACCCAGTGTACCTTCTTCAATATAAGTAAATAAATAAACAGTAGACCATCCCACAATCATGTCGAGGAATGACCTGCCAACCTGCCAATCCCATGTTCTCCCAATCACCCTTCACCTGCCAGTCACCCCTCACCTCCCAGTCACCCTTCACCTCCCATCGTCTTCAAGACACAAGGCCAACTAGTGAGGCGAAACTCTAACTGCTGGTTAGGTTTAAGAATGGGAATAATAAGGCTGTTGGTCCAACCTGTCCTCCTACAAAGAACGTCGCATTTCGTTCGTATGCGTTATATACGGCCAAAAATTATCGTACTAGAAATTGGAAGCGGCTGACGAAAGTGACGTACTGCCCCGTTTCCTGTTTTGGGTCCTCTGGCAGGTTAGAAGAGGACACATGACGCTGGGAAACCTTAGTAGGACGGGCTGGTTGGTCCACGACTCTGGAAGCTCCTAGCTACATAGCTCATGTTATACAATTCAAGCAAAGAATTCCCTGGCACTAACAGAAGTAAAGGCAGTATACCGTACATAACTCCATCCTCCCCGGGTGATGTAGACCTTCATGTAGACCAGAGTCTAGTTCGCATCCAATTAAAAAGCATATCACAGTCACACTTCTGATGAAAGCAAGAAGTAGCCTTGCTCTATCATCATATTTATTATTTAATTTATTCTACGTGGCTAAAGGAAGACTAAACTCAATGCTGGAAGCTGAACCAAGGCATCAACAAGATCATTTGCTCTGTGCCACACATCAGGGTGCGAGATCTGAGCAGCATTTTCCCTTTTTCTCACACGCCACTAAGCTAGGCATCCTTCCATGCCCGGCTTAGTGACGTCTGAGAACTGAGACCACTGACAAATGTTTCCCAATCTGCCTCAGCTCTACCGTGTGAAAGAATCTAAAACAACAACAAACAGACCAGGAGATAGAAAGCGCGGGAAAGGGAGGTGTTGATCGGCCCTGATAACACAACTAGATGAGTACGCATATTTCAGTACATATATATAAATACACACAGAAATACACACAGAAATACACAAACACACATACACGCACGTACTTAAATCTTTAAAAAACAAAAGACAACTAAGGTCTTAACCGTGACGTCTTACAAACCCAACCAACCAAAGAAAACGGTCCTCCATGTTGACACTTTGTAAACAACAATGGCGGCCGGGACCCACACGCCCTGAAGACAATCCTCAAAAGCCTCGATACGAAAAAAAAATGTTTCTAAAAATTCTAAAGGCTTCCAGAAGAACACAAAGACACAAAACAAGAAAATTTTATAACGTGTTTCAAGAAACAAAAGCACGATCGGAAGTCTATTGTCAATTGCTTTAGCTCTTCGCTTGAATTCTTCAGTGCCGAGGTTTACAAAGGCGAGGTGAAGGTTCTCATCTCAGGTTCCACTCGGAGGCGGCCGAATGGAACCTCAGATGAGAAAAGATTACGAAGGGTGTTCTTCAGCGACAAGAATGGAATAATTCTTGTCGCTGAAGAACAAGAATGGAACAATTCTTGTGAGGACGATCTCCAAAGAATGTTACCGTGGGTGTGGGAGAGTCTGTGAGTGCTCGTGAGTGAGAGTGCTCGTGAGTGAGTGTGAGTGCTCGTGAGCGAGTGTGAGTGCTCGTGAGCGAGTGTGAGTGCTCGTGAGCTAGTGTGAGTGCTCGTGAGTGAGTGTGAGTGCTCGTGAGTGTGAGTGCTCGTGAGCGAGTATGAGTGCTCGTGAGCGAGTGTGAGTGCTCGTGAGCGAGTGTGAGTGCTCGTGAGCGAGTGTGAGTGCTCGTGAGCGAGTGTGTGCTCGTGAGCAAGTGTGAGTGCTCGTGAACGAGTGTGAGTGCTCGTGAGCGAGTGTGAGTGCTCGTGAGCGAGTGTGAGTGCTCGTGAGCGAGTGTGAGTGCTCGTGAGCGAGTGTGAGTGCTCGTGAGCGAGTGTGAGTGCTCGTGAGTGAGTGTGAGTGCTCGTGAGCGAGTGTGAGTGCTCGTGAGTGATTGTGAGTGCTCGTGAGCGAGTGAGTGCTCATGAGTGTGAGTGCTCATGAGGGAGTGTGAGTGCTCGTGAGTGAGTGTGAGTGCTCATGAGCGAGTGTGAGTGCTCATGAGCGAGTGTGAGTGCTCGTGAGCGAGTGTGAGTGCTCGTGAGCGAGTGTGAGTGCTCGTGAGTGAGTGTGAGTGCTCATGAGCGAGTGTGAGTGCTCATGAGTGAGTGTGAGTGCTCGTGAGCGAGTGTGAGTGCTCGAGTGTGTGCGCGCGCGTGCACATGCATGGATGAATGTAATATTTTGAGTGAATTAAGGAATTATCCAGGCGCCAATCTTGCTATTGTGAGATACAGAAGGTTATCGCTCCTGTTATCATGAGAGAGGTTATCGCTCCTGTTATAATGAGAGAGGTTATCGCTCCTGTCATCATGAGAGAGGTTATCGCTCCTGTCATCATGAGAGGTTATCGCTCCTGTTATCATGAGAGAGGTTATCGCTCCTGTTATCATGAGAGAGGTTATCGCTCCTGTTATCATGAGAGAGGTTATCGCTCCTGTTATCATGAGAGAGGTTATCGCTCCTGTTATAATGAGGTTATCGCTCCTGTCATCATGAGAGAGGTTATCGCTCCTGTCATCATGAGAGAGGTTATCGCTCCTGTTATCATGAGAGGTTATCGCTCCTGTTATCATGAGAGAGGTTATCGCTCCTGTTATCATGAGAGGTTATCGCTCCTGTCATCATGAGAGGTTATCGCTCCTGTCATCATGAGAGTGGTTATCGCTGCTATCGTCATGAGAGTGGTTATCGCTCCTGTTATCATGAGAGGTTATCGCTCCTGTCATCATGAGAGGTTATCGCTCCTGTCATCATGAGAGAGGTTATCGCTCCTGTCATCATGAGAGAGGTTATCGCTCCTGTCATCATGAGGTTATCGCTCCTGTTATCATGAGAGAGGTTATCGCTCCTGTCATCATGAGAGAGGTTATCGCTCCTGTCATCATGAGAGAGGTTATCGCTCCTGTCATCATGCGAAATAGAAGATTCTCTCTCCTGTTATCATAAGAGAAGATTATATTTTCTGTTATCATGAGACAAATATCATTATTATTCCTGTTATCATAACAGAATGATCACTCCTGTTATCATGAAAAAATATCATGTTATCACGCAGTCCCCCGTGGCGAAGTGGTAAAACACCCGCCTGGCGTTTCGCAAGCGCTTTGGCCTGGGTTCGTATCCTGGCCGAGGGTTCGTAGCCCCTGTTCACCCAGCAGTGAATGGGTACCTGGAGCCAGATTCACGAAGTAGTTACGCAAGCACTTTACGAACGTGTACATCTTTCTTCAATCTTTGACGGCTTTGGTTACATATATTAAACAGTTTACAAGCATGAAAACTTGCCAATCAACTGTTGTTATTGTTATAAACAGCCTCCTGGTGCTTCCGATCTTATTAACTGTTTAATAATTGTAAACAAAGCCACCAAAAATTGAGAAAATATGTACAGGTTCGTAAGTGTTTGCGTAACTTCTTCGTGAATCTAGCCCCAGGCTGTTAAACGATTTGGCAGGTCGTATCTCGGGGACAAATTCGGATTAATGACCAGCCCGAAACGCTACGCGTGTTAATGGGTGTATACAAGAATGTGAGAACTCTTGTATATATAAATAAATAATAAATCACGAGAGATATCATGATATCTCCTGTTATCACAAGAGAATGTTCAACACACTACACCAATTCACCCGCAACCATGTAAACATACAACGTAACGGTCCTTATTATTACCTTATTACAACTTGTTACAAAGCTGTTACATTGTGTTATAGAAAGCTTTTATGACGTGTTAGAAAGTTGTTACAGCTTGCTAGATACTTAGAATGTGTTACAAGTTGTTCGAACGTTCTGGCAACGTCGTAGCTTCGTCGGGTGTTTGGCGGGAACTGACCTGTGCAAGACCGAAGACGCAGCAGCAGAGAAAGAAGTAGAAGAGCGGGGCGGGACTCGGCGCCCGTCGACACATCATAGTCAGGCTGTGGGGGGAGGGGCGCTGGTGACTTCGGCTCTTGGGGTGTCTTGCAGACGTCTACTGCATCTTGGGGTGTCTTGCAGACGTCTACTGCATCTTGGGGTGTCTTGCAGACGTCTACTGCATCTTGGGGTGGCTTCCAGACGTCTACTGCATATTGGGCTGGCTTGCAGAAGTCTACTCCATCTTGGGGTGGCTTCCAGACGTCTACTGCCTCTTGGGGTGTCTTGCAGACGTCTACTGCCTCTTGGGGTGTCTTGCAGAAGTCTACTCCATCTTGGGGTGGCTTCCAGACGTCTACTGCATCTTGGGGTGGCTTCCAGACGTCTACTGCATCTTGGGTTCTGGCTGAAAGGGAAAAAATGACTGAAATCAACTAGCGTCTACGTAATTATTTATTTATGCAAATGTAAGATGAAAAGTAAAATAGGTTTGCATTTTGTACATATTTTGGTAATTAATTGGTATTTTTTCAAACTAAGGATGGGGATAGTCTTAGCTGCCTCCTCTACCACCTTATTCCACTTGATCACTTCTCTTACGCTGAAGAAATGCTTCTTTACATCTCTATGGCACATCTGAGCGTCTAGTTACCTCCCACATCCTTCCGTCTTGCCTATGTTTACGGTAAACTCTTAAGTTGAGGCAACTTTGCCAAAGTGGCCTCGCAATCTTGTAGCCTCTTGGCCCCTTCTCTTCCAACTTGGTAATGTCTACTTCTCTAAGCCTGTCCATCGTATCTCAAGCCTCTTTGTTCAGGAAATGTTCTTCAATCTGATATTACTCATATACGAACTAAGACCTAGCAATACTCATATACGAACTAAGACCTGGTAATACTCATATACGAACTAAGACCTGGTAATACTCATATACGAACTAAGACCTGGTAATACTCATATACGAACTAAGACCTGGTAATACTCATATACCAGGTCTTAGTCCGTCCTCGTAACCATCCCAAATACTGGATAGTCATACTGGCTTTTCATACTCTCTTGATAGTTACCTCACCTTACCATCTCTCATCTCAATTCTAATTACCTTGTGATGAGAACTGAGATGAGAGATGATAAGGTGAGTCCCAAGCCATTTTCTTAGAGTATGTCATCAAACCAAATCCACCAGAAGCATTCTGTAATCCTAAACTGTGATTCAACCTCGTCAGTTTTATCATTAGAGACCTGAACGCAAAGCGATTAGCGGATAGTTTTCTAGGGAAACAAATAATGGATACCCCGGCACGTCCTCCTAAGGTTCCCAACGTCAAGAAACTGTCCTACTAAAGTGTCCATATCCTAACCCAACAGTGGCCCCAAAACAGAAAACGAGACAGTATGTCAATTTCGCGGGCCGCTACCATTTTCTAATACGACAATTTTTGTCCTTTAGTAGAGTATACGTCAAAATGCGACGTTCTATTAGGAGGACGGGTTGGAAACCCGGCTGTGGAAGGATGGGAGAGCCGTCCCGTCAACCAAGGGGTGCTATCACGCCATGGTCATATTTATCGAAAGCCTTTGCGAAGTCCGTGTATACCACATCAGCATCCTGATTTTCTTCTAATGCCTCAGTGACTTTGTCATAGTGATCAAGTAGCTGTGAGAGGCATGATCTTCCCGCTCGAAATCCATGTTGGCCTGGATTGTGAAGGTCATTGGTCTCCATGAAATTGGTGACCTGACTCCTGATCACTCTCTCAAATAATTTTATTATGTGGGACGTTAGTGCAACTGGTCTATAATTCTTTGTCAATGCTTTGCTCCCTCCCCCGTGTTCAAACTCTTCCTCCACACTATACTGAGTGCCTGTGCTACTGGCACCTTGCATTTCTTTATAAAAATTGAATTCCATGAATCTGGACCCGGAGCTGAGTGCATGGGCATGTTTTCAATTTCCCTTTCAAAATCTAGTACGCTCGTGTTGATATCAGTTATGTTTACAGGTGTTTGGATATCACGCATAAAGAAATTGTCTGGATCTTCCACTTTCATGTTGTTTATTGGAGTGCTAAACATGTCCTCATACTAAATCCAACCTGCCATTTTGAGGCTGATTGAGGACATACTAAGTCCTCAATCTAAAAACATTGAAATCACCACCTCATTGACACTAAATAGCGTCAAGAGTGCCAGACACGCCCCGCAGCCAACACGCGAGATATTCTACATAATTCCGCTGCTGGTACTTTCCCTCAGTCTCCCCTAGCGTGAAGCCGATGAGGGTAATTTGCTATAATTTCTATACGTTTTCTTTGTTTATACAATATCAGCTCCAGTAATGGTTATTTATGACGTCATACTCATAACTTACCGAGATTTCATTGAACATAAAGGAGGAGTAACAGCAATTTTAACCAAATGCTATATAGTCAGCCTTTAACTGCAGAGAAATTTCGTATAATTATTATAACTAAAATAAGCTGTTAAGCGTTCTCACTTTCACAGAAAACGTAACCAATGTTACCTACATGTAGTACCAATTTAGGACCTGTTCAAGATTATATTACATTACTATTAAAATAATTACTGTTATATAATGAGCGGCGTTACATGGACGACAGCACACAAGCTCCAAATTGCTATATTGAGCGTGCAGTAAACAGTGCCATCAAGCACAAAACAATGATGGGGAAATTGCCTATGTACAAATGCAGAGGGTATGATAAACAAGTCTGATGCATTATGCGTACAGATAACTGCCGCCTCCAGAGGAAAATACCCACAATTTGTAAATGAGAACATCACTTAAATGACATATCTCTTACCATGTCCAAGTAGCCGTCACAACTGCAAGAAAAATGACAGGTTGGATAACAAGAACTTTTCAAACAAGAGATGCCATACCAATGATGATATGGCGGGCACAAGTGTTCTCAAGAGTGGAATACTGTTGCACAATGACAACCCACAGAATCACAATAACGTGATGCACCAATGAACAAATCCACAAGGGCCGTGACGAGGATTCGAACCTACGTCCTAAGTCGATTAAAGCAGCGTCTGGGATGATCTCGGACGTAGGTTCGAATCCTCGTCACGGCCCTTGTGGATTTGTTCAATGACAGCCCCTTTCAAAGCTGGAGAAATTGCTGACCTGGAGAGCGTGCAGAGATCCTTTACTGCTAGAATCCACTCAATAAAACATCTAAATTATTGGGACCGACTAAAATGCCTAAATCTCCACTTCTAGAGGGCAGGCAAGAGATATTAATAATTTACACCTTGGGAAATATTTGAGGGGCTGGTCCCAAATCTACACACCCTTCTGGTCTGACCACGTGAGACCAGAAGGCATGGCAGGATGTACAAAATACCCCCGTTGAAAAGCAGAGGTGCAATACGTATTATGAGAGAAAATTCTATCAACATCAGAGACTCAAGACTGTTCAACACGCTTCCACTGCACACAAGGGGGGCAACCACTTGGGCTGGACGGTAGAGCGACGGTCTCGCTTCATGCAGGTCGGCGTTCGATCCCCGACCGTCCAAGTGGTTGGGCACCATACCTTACCCCCGCCCCACTCCAAATCCTTATCCTGATCCCTTCCCAGTGTTATGTAGTAGTAATAGCTTTACGCTTTCTCCTGACAATTCCCTGTTCTTAAAATACCATTACTGGCAGACCCCCTCATGGTGCTCAAGAGAGAACTTGATAAACACCTCCAAAGGACACCTGATCATCCAGGCTGTGATTCATACGTCAGATTACGAGCAGCCGCGCCCAACAGCCTGGTTGATCAGACCATCAACCAGTAGGCCTGGGCAGAGACCGGGCCCCAGGGACCTTGACCCCGGAATCATAGTGATAGTGGTGGTGGTTGGTGATAGTGGAACTGTTAATAGTGTTGGTGGTAATGGTGGTGTTTGTGGTAGTTGGTGATAGTGGAGGCGATTGTGGTGTTAATAGTGTTAGTGATAGCGGTGGTAGTAATATTGTTCGTGGTGATGGTGATGGTGATTGTGTTCGTGGTGATAGTGTTTGTGGTGATGGTGATAGTGATGATGTTGATGATGACAGAGGTGTTTGGGGATGCGTTGGTGGAGGCTTTAATGGTGGTGGCTGTGACTTTGCTAGAGGTGTTGATGGTGGTAGTGGTTGTGTGGTGGGTGGTGCTAGATGATAATGTTGGTGGTGCCAGGTGATAGTGGTGGTAACGCTGATGATATTGGTAGTGATGGTGGTGGCAGGAAGTAATGGTGGTGGTGGTTTTGACGGAGGTGGTGGTGGTTGAGGTTGGTGGTGGTGGCAGTGGTGAAACCAGGAGATACCGGTCACCGGCGGTGGTAGAGGAACCAGGTGGTGGATTGTGGTGATGGTGCCAGGAAATGATGGTGGTGATGGTGCCAGGAGATGATTGTGGTGATGGTAGTATGGGTGGGGACGGTGTGAGCGGAAGTGTGGTGGATCAGATCAGGTGTGTAGTAGAAATCACGTGACAATCACAATCACACACCACAATCACAATCACAGTCACGTGACATCCACCACACCACCACACACTTCATAATACAAAACATAATGGTACAATAAAGAAAATATTTTAATTGTAAATTTAATAACAATAATAACAAACACAGAATAACACTAACATTATTACTATTAACATAATAATGACAAAACAACAGTTACCAACCCAGAAAACACCCCATGTAACTGTAGGCAAAACTTTACCACTGACAGTGCAACCCGTTCTCGCAAATTTAATAAGTCAATATTGACTTATTAAATATGTGCATAGGTGACATACTTAACATAATAGATACCCTTAAAAAGATTCATAGAAAACACCGGCCTTACCTAACCTACTTAGTATGTTAAGATAAGCATCTTATTGCTTCGTAATTACAATTATTACCTAACCAATAATAGGTATAGGTTAAGTAATAATTGTAATTACGAAGCAATAAGATGCTTATCTTAAGATACTAACAAGGTTAGGTAAGGTCGGTGTTTTCTATGAATCTTTTTAAGAGTATCTATTATGTTTAGTATATCACCTATGCACGTAGTTAATAAGTCAATATTGACTTTACGAATTTACGAGAACGGGTTGTATGTGTTGCAGCAGAGCGCGTCCGCTTCCCCCAATGTTTACATCCCCCATGTTGCCAACTGACTCCATTTCCCACCCCTGGAAAATATGTACCGTGCCCCCTCCCGTTTTTTGTCACTGTCAATCAATAATTATAATAATTCCCATTGTAGGGGACTGAAAACCTGGACGTAAATCCGTAACTCCTGGGTACTTATTTTACAGCTTGGTGAACAGGTGCATCAGGCAGAAGGAAGCAGAGTGCCCAACCACTTGGACCATAGGGGATAGAACGCCGACCTGCAAGAAGCGA